TATAGTATAGTATATTTATTATATTATAATAGGATCCAAGGAGGAAAGTGGGGAGCAAAGGGGTAAGGATAGGCAGGGAGGAGAAACACAATTTAATGGGTGGAAGGAGGGGTGAATAAAGAAAATAGAAAATACCTTATGTGAAAAACAATGTATACAAACTTTTTAAGTAAACCAGTATAAAATATTTTCTTTTTAAAAAACTGTAAATACTTGGACAAGTGACAGCTGAGTCACCAGGTCTAGCTGTCCATATGGGCAGGGCTATCCAGGAACTACTGGACAAGCACCTGGAGCACCTCCAGGCAGGTACTACCTTACACTCACCCATGGTGCACAGCATGGAAGTGGGGTACCCCCGGTGGTGGTTTTGGGGGTCCTAATCCTGGAGACCTTTATGGACCACCAGCTGGTAGAGGACCTTATGGACACCCTGAAGGACTCCCCTCTGGAGTTCTAGCAGAACTCTATGGTGGGAGCCCCAGAGAACCCCTAAGATCAGCCACTTCAAAATTCCTATGGTGCCTAGGATCCTGGGCCTTATGGGCAGGGACCTCCTCCAGCTGTTACCCTTCCCAGTGTGGATCCTGAGGCTGACTCTTGGTTCCAGTCGGTGCACTCCAACTACAGTGGCTACATCTCCATTCAAGGAGCTGAAGCAGGGTCTGGTTACCTCTAACTGGTCCTCATTCAATGATGAGACATGCCTCATGATGATAAATACGTATGACAAGACCAAGTCAAGCCGTGTTGATGTCTATGGTTTCTTGGCCCTGTGGAAATTCATCCAGCAGTGGTTGTATCTCTTCCAGCAGTATGACCAGGACTACTCAGGCGCCGTTATCTACACAGAGCTGCTTAAGCTCTGTTCCAAACGGGTTACAACACAAGCCCCCATTCACCCAGCTCCTGGTCTCCCATCATTGTCCATGCTCCACCAGACCCTACATGCAGTTGGACCATTTCAGCTGCTGACTGAGGCCTTCAGGGGAAGTACACAGCTGTGTTGTTGGCTGAGGATAAGAATAAAGAGATGGGACACCAAGAATGGAGGAGAAAACAGCATAAAGTTGGGGGCAAACAGCTGGAAGAACTGAAGCCCTCAAGCCACACCTTTCTGTGGCTTTGTTGAAAATCACCAGGAAGTAAATCACAAAGAGAAATCTTTTTTTTAAAAAAGAGAAATCTTTTGCAAATGAAGCTGAGTTTTTCTCTATTGTCAACATTAAGCTTATCACAGGAGGGAGGGGTTAGAAAATGCAATCCAAGAATTGTGAAAAACCCTGAAGGTCTGCCTTGGTGGTTAACCTCTGTGACCTGTGGGGAATTCCAGCTTGTGTATCTGAACCTCCCTCATATCCTGATAAAGCATTAAGTTTACCATTAATATTTAGTTTGAAATTTGGCTTCCCACACAGCTGCGCAGGACAATATCTGGCTCATCTTTGAGGACTTTGTCACCATGACAGCTTCTTGGATGCTCTGACTCCACCATCTGTAGAGTGGAGTGCCCTGGGGACCATTTCTGGTTCCTTAGAGGTGGAGGAACATGTAGGCCTTTTTCTTAAACACTTTCCCATTTCTGATGTTGCCCTTTTCCCAGAGAGAGCTAAGAGTTCTGTGTCATAGCCACCAAATAGTGTGGCCTAGGCTGATGCCATACAAGTGGGGCCAGACGTGAGGAAAAGACTAGATATTGAATATCCCTACATCCCTGAGCAACTGAACAGCGCAGCTTTCATCAGCAATGGTAGATACCAGTCATTGTGATGGATTTAAGTCCTGACAGCTGGGCCTGACCCTCTAGCTTTCTCTTCTCTGCCCTGACACCAGTGGGAAGTGCTCAGCACACTCTTAGCACCTGTGTTCTCTCACCTTTGCTGTTCTGTCAGATGAGTTCAGTTTCTCGAAGTTTGAATCTGACCAAGCATGAGAGGGATTTTTCCACAAGACCAGGCTGCTTGATCTAACTACCACCCAGCCCACTGGTCCTGTGTGTTCATGAGAGGTGCCTGGAGGCTGTTTCACCTTGAATGACTTGGACAGTCTTCCCCCTGGTACCTTTAGCCAGGCTACTACTCTCCCTGTTTGCGTTCTAACTTGCCTGCCATGCTCTGCTTGGCAGAGGGACAATTGCTACTTTCCACAGCCAGTGCTTTTGCTTTTGTGTTAGGTTAGTGGACTTAAGAAAGAAATCAGAGAGAACAAAGGAGAAAGCTTAAAGCTTTATTAGGGGGCTTCCAGGCAAGATTCCTCATTCTGAAGATGCAGACTGAGAAAGTCGCACCTTGGACATATTGGGGAGGGTTTTTATAACAGAGTCTTTAGGGAGGAAAGGAAGGGACATTCCATTGTGATTTATGGTTGATCTATTAGTTCGGCCAGGTAGGCAGGGCCATTCACTCTTCTTGTGGACATGTGTATTTTTTGACTTCTTTGTTCTCTCCTTTGGCTCCTTGTCAGGATCTATCATCCCAGCCTCTTTAGTGATAAAACAGGGCACAATATTTTTATTCTAGCTACTTCCTGCTGAACAAGGGCAAAGATCTGGGGGCTCAGAGGCCAGAGTGAGTTGGTCCAGGATCAGTGGCCAGGGGAGAATTAAGTTGGTCATCTCCTTGATCCTGTGAAATAAAAATTTAAAGGACATGGAGCGATTAATAACAATATTCTTATGATTACTATTGGTCCTAGGAAAGGAAGAATTTAGGCTAGAAATGGGTTTTCAAGCCAATTTGGGAGAAGGCTTGTGGTTTTACTAGGCCTGATTAACTTATATAGTAACAACACTCCTCTTTTAGGAATAGGCAGGTATCCCCTGTCTTGGCAGTTAGGAGATCTAGAGTGTTTAACTTTGGAGAGCAACTTGCGATAGCAGTTAGCTGACATTGGAGGGAGGCTAGACTGAGTCCAACCATGATTGAGAGAAATTCCACTTCTTTAATTCAAAGAGTAGGGAGAAGCCAAGTTAATTCAGATTCACTATACAAGGTGAGCTGGGGTACGACTGCTACAGAGAAACAGGGCCGCTTTGTGGTGGAATTCTGTATAGAGTCTCATTATACTGAAAGTGTTGTTTTGGTTCAGCTACAGTGTGCTTGTTCATTTTAATATTGTGAATACATTTTCCATGTTCCATTGCAGAGGGTGTAAACAAGGCAGTTATGTAGCAGATGCTTAGAGGGATAGTCTGTTTATCAGGCTCTGGTTCTCAGAGGGAAATGTGTCTTGAAATGGTGGAGCACTTAGTTTGGGCTTTTGGAATGGGTTAAGTTATTTTGGTAAAGTGTGGTTTAGAGAAATTGATTGGTTCACTAGAGAAGTTGGTTGTAAAGAGGCACACAGGAAACAATGGCAAAGGTTGGTCACCATCTAACTTTGGTTAAGGAATAGTAAGGTGCTCTGGATAATTTGGACTTAGGCCAGGGCCTGCATAGTTTGTGGCCCTTTAGAGGCTTGTTTTATCATTGTCTGTTTTGCTTGGAGAATTTTGTTGGAGACCTGTACTTGCATGTTGGCATCTAGAATGTATTCTCTGCTTATGTGTATTGTGCTAGAGGGCAAGGAACTATATCCAGTAGGGGTATAGTTTTCTTTTAACTCCACCTAGAATTCCAGGGGTCTGAGATGTGAAGGTAGAAGTTTCTCTGTTCAATATAAAAAACTTTGGCATTATAAACGTCATGTATCTTGCATAACCAATATGGACAACTTCCATATGTCTCTGGCCACTGCTGACAGCATGACTGGACTTGGTCATATAGGAAGCAAGCAAAGGGTTGTCTGTAGGATGAAACCTTTAGGTGATATTGAAATGGTGATTGCTGCTTGGCATCCCTCTTGAGAGCAATCTGCTGAACCAATGAACCAATGAGATGTGTGATTGGAGTAGACTGCTGCATGGAAGTTTCTCTAGTGTTTGGGTGCTGAGTGAAGCAAAGAGTAATGGGACCTACCATCTGAGAGGCATAGGAAACTTGATCAGTGAGAGAAGCATGTTTGACCTGAGAAAGGTGGTGCCAATGGGGGTTAACCTATGACGTTGACCACAGTTGGGGAAGTTAAGTTAAGGTCCATCCTAGCATGGTTGGAGAGGCTTGGGCATACCCTGCTTGATGAGGATGGCATCTTCTGGAGTGATTTCAGTGATTTGGTCTAGATTTTCAAACGAGGCTTTGGCTATGCAGTGGTATGCATGTTCCTGGAGTATTTGTCTAAGGAGGGAGAGATAAGGTATGAAGCTAAAAGAGGGGGTTCAGTGGGTAAATTATGGTTCAGCAGAAATGGTCAGCTGTACGTTAGTTCAAAGGGGCTCAGGAAGGATGATGAACAAGTTGTTGCTCAGATACAGGCTAAGGTAATAGGAAGTAAGTCAACTCAAGGCCTGAGTAACTTAACAGTCAGTTTAGTTAGAGGGGACTTAATGAGTTCATTCATGCTCTTGACTTTGCCTGAAGACTGGGGGTTTTATGGTATGTGCACCTTCCAGCAGATAACTAAATGAGAAGTTACTTGCTAAGTGACTCTGGAGACAAAGCTAGGACGGCTGTCTGATTGTATAGAAGTAGGTAGGCCAAACCTGGAGATGATATGCTGGAGTAGGGCCTCAGCAACTTCATCTACTGTTTCTCACTAGGTAGGAAAGTGTTCAACCCATCTGGAGAAGGTATCTACTATAGTTAGGAGATGCCTATATTTATTGTGAGTCAGCATGTGCGTGAAATCAACCTGTCAATCCTGTCCAGATATGTGGCCTCGGAGTTGATATTTTGGGGGTATCAGGATGGATGGCGAAGAGATTGAGATTGTTCACAGCTTCAGGTTGCTCGGCTCCACAGTCAACACTCTTGGCACCAGTAGCCAGGAAATAAAAAAACGTATTGCGATGGGAAAGTCTGCGGTTAGGGACCTCTCTAAAGTACTCAAGAGCAACGGTGTCTCTCTGGAGACTAAGGTGCGCCTGATACAGGCCATAGTTTTTGCAATCCCTTGTTATGCATCAGAGAGTTGGACAATGACTAGGGAGGATAGAAGGAGAATTGACGCCTTTGAGCTGTGGTGCTGGAGAAGAGTATTGAATGTACCATGGACTGCCAAGAAAACAAAGATTCATCATAGAGAGGATTAAACCAGGCTGCTCCTTGGAGGCAAGGATTCTGGGGCTTCGTCTGACATACTTTGGACATGTTGTAAGGAGAGACAGGTCTTTAGAGAGGGACATCATGCTGGGTAGAGTGGAGGGACAGCACAGGAGGGGAAGACCCTCTATGAGGTGGATTGATTCAGTGACTGCGGTAATCGGGATGGGTGTGTCAGAGGCAATGAGATTGGCACAGGATAGAGCACGGTTTAGGGCTGTTGTATATAGGGTTGCTATGAGTCGCAAAGGACTCAACGGCACATAACAACAACAACATGGTCTGGATGTTCCCCTGAGTATTTACTAGTTTACAAATAAGGCATCTATCTATCTTGCACTGATTCAACAGTCTGGGTCAAGTAAGGGGAATGAAACAAAGGTTGGAGGAACTTTAAAAGAGCTTTGGCTCCAATATGTAGGGATTGATGCCACCTGCATTACAATATATGCTTCTTGTCCTTGAGGCAAAGCTACTTTGCCATTTACCATGATCCATCCATTGGGAGTTAGGCAGCCTCCATTCTGGAGAAGAGACTGCTTTCCTTCCATAGTGTATTTTGAATGGAAATCTGAAATGGTGAAAAATAGGATGGGGGGTGTCCTATTGTTGTGGTTGCAAGGCTAAAGTTTTTGCTATATGGTCTGCTTTGTTGTTTCCCTTGGTGATAAGGGAAGAATTTGACAAATGTCCTTTGCAGTGAATTATAGCAACCTGCTTAGGCAGTTGAAGGCTTTTAACAAAAGAATAATCAGCTTACTATTAAGTACAGGCGAACCTTTTGTTGTTATAAAGCCTAGCTTGCACCAGATAGCAATGTGGCAATAAGCAGTTAAAAAGACATACTTAGAATCTGTGTAAATGTTGACAGTCAGGCCTTTAGCTAGATGTAGGGCTCTCGTTAGGGTAATAAGCTCGGCATTTTGTGAGG